AAAAAACCTCCAGTGACTGTGACTGGTCCCAGTGATTGTATCTTTTTGGTCGCTGTGGATCTGGGCGGGCCTGGAGCCAAAAGGTGACTACTATTCCTCCCTGCGGGCCCCAGGTGGGGAGGAAGGGTTCAGACTCTCGTTCCTCTCCCCTGTCCTCATTTCCAAGCCTTGTTGGGCCGAGCAGAAGCTGTGAGGACCCTCTGCTAGCTTCCTAAGCTTTGCCTGAAGATTGTCACCCAGCACTGTTTGGGGACAAGGGCTGAATCAGTGGCTACCAGCTATGCCTAGGAGCCAGAGCCTGAAAGCCAGGCAACCTCTGACCACAGGGGCCATTTTGTACCCTCCCAGTGGAGAGGGGCCACTGTCACGCCTTGTCTGTCAGTGTAGTGCCTGTGTTGGAGGTGGAGAGGTGAGTCCCCCAGAGCTCCTGGCCAGGCTCTCCTCCCCCTGCTCCAGCTCCTTTGCTCCCATGCTCGCTGTACCTCTTATCTGGTGAATCCTCCCCTAATTAAAGTCTCTTCTTGCCCCTTTGGGGCTGCATGAGGTCTGTGCTTGGTGTGTATGTGTGAAAGGAGGGGAGATGGGCTTTTCTACCTTAATGCTGCATGTCTGGCACTAGAGCCTGAGGCAGTGTCATAATCCCTGCAAAGGACTCCAACCCAGAGATCCCTTTATTGTAGTTGAGGCCCCCTTCACTTATGAGACTGTTCTCTGCCTGTACAGTTCTGGTGCTTCTCATGTAATGATGTCATGTGGGCCAAAAGAGAACCTGAGGGAGTGTTCCCACTTTTCCTTGTGGGAACTGCAGTTTGTGAGGTAACAGCGGTTTGCCCCAAATCACCCAGCCATTGAGCACGAAGTAAACTGCAAGACTTATGCTGCTACCTGTGCTATCAAGTACAGTATTAATTAAAATGAAGTTTACAATTCAGCTTCTCACTGACTTTGCCACCAGCCACATTTCACGTGTACAGTAATCACAGCTGACTAGTGGCTGCCTTATCAGACAGCACATATATAGAACATTTCTGTCATCACAGGAAGTTCTGTTGGACAGTGCTAGACCTTGAGTGAGGCTTTGGGAGTGAAAAAAAAAAAAAAACCTTGGGTTTGTGTTCTGACTCTGCTGATTTTGAGCAAGTCATTCTGTGCCTCAGTTTCTTCATCTGTAAAGAAAATGAATATAAACAATCTGCCACAATACCTGCCAGACACAGATACTTTATAAATGAACTGTTCTTCCCAACATCTCATTATCTGATCTCTGATAATTTAAAATGTGCTATGTATGGATAATGATGTTATCTCTGCCTGGAAGACACTAGTTTTAGTGAAAGCTAGGTGAGTAAATAGGTACACTACATTAAAGTGTTTGGTATTTCCCAGTGGAATTTGGGGCAAGGGAAGTGTCCTGTGAGGTATATTTACAGGAGAGGGTGTTACGGAAAGCTCCAAGGCCACCTCTTGGATCTTTTCAAAAAGATTTTCTCCAGGTGGCTAAAGAGGGAGGAAAGGATGAGGTAATATTCTTAAAGGGAGGAGGGGCTAGATGGAGGTGGGGGTGACTTGAATAGCTATCATCCCCTTTGTGACATTACCTCTGTGACATCCCCCTCCCACCTTGCAGAGTTAGATGTGTCCTCTGGGACACACAGCACTGTGTTCTGGCTTTTGCAGCGTGAATGACAAAGGTGCTCAGGGCAAAGCTGGATGTCCACTAGGTTATGGTAACTGGTTACTCAACCACCACCATAGGACGCCATTGCATAGGTGAGCTGACCAGAACCCTCATTTGGGACAGACCTGTTTCAGTGTCTGAAGCCCCTAAACTCAAATTTATAGGTTGTGTGGTTGCTGATTAGTCTGTCCTCTCCTGGGGGCATGCCTCTTGGAAAGTCCAGTAACCAAATGGTTGGGAAGGGTGGACTTGCCAACAAGATGGGGGACCCACCTCCACACAGGGACAGATTGCCCAGTGACTGACAATGTGGGTTCTTGGATCAGGGTTGTCTCCGCTTCCTAAACTGCTTGGACATTGCTAGAGTCTAGAGCTTGCCTCAAACTCCCTGTTTGGTAGTTGCATGACCAACATGCATGCCTCTGAGTGACAACATACTATAATGTTAAAGATTTGGAGTTATGTTCCAATAATGGCTCTGCTGTGCGAGATGGGGCAGATTATTTAACATCTTGGAGCCTTATTTTCCTCATCTGTAGTACTTTGCTACTACCTCCAATAAGGTTACAGTCTTGAAGAAGTTTGTGTATAACTGTGTTCTGATCTATTGTATTTCTTGGTTGACTCAAACAGTGATCCATTTTTCTACTTCCAAGGGTTAGGTTTTTTGGGGGTGGGAGGGGAAGTCTGCACTTTATCAGTATCGTCCCCTGTACTGTCCTGGCTCTCAGCTCTATTCCCAATGGCCTTACCCTACCCTATCTGCCAGGCCCTGCAGAGTCAGATTTTTGCTTTACTGGGAAACCATTCCACCCCTCTTTCCCTGGCAGACTCATTAGCATTCTTAGGCTTTGTCTTAATCACCTCTTCAGAGAACATCCTTGACCACCTAACCTAAAGTGTGCCTCTTCCTGATTTCAGTTTATTGCTTGTTTGTTGCCCCTATCATACCTGCAGCTGTTTTATTCGGTTGCTTGCTTTTTGCTTGTTTCCCCCCACTGGGCTGAAATTTTCACGAGATCAGGGACCACCTAGTGTTCTGCAGGTCCGCAGTGCCTAGTCCAGTGCCTACCACATGGTCCTCTACAAATGTGCAGTAGCTCAAGCCCCAAATCCCTTGGCACTCTAGCGGGGTTCAGTAAGGAACAGTTACACTGATAAGTATCCCAGTGCTCTGCGCTTCCACGTTCAGTGTCTTGCGCATCAGAGGACTGCGGCACGTAAGGTTCGGCACCCAGCCCACTGGAGGGAGCTCTCCCTTGGCTGCCAGGGGAGGGCACAGCCATCCCCGAACCCGTCTGGAGCGGTCTGATTGTGCCCGGGGAATGGTTTCCAAGGCGACAAGCAAACAGAGGGCGGGGCCTCAGAACCGAGGGCCCAACTCTGGTCTGGGAAGGGCCCTCCACGGAGAAGCGGCCGCGCGCAAGCCGTGGACGGCGCAGGGGCTCTGGGAGGGCGCGCGCGGAAAGGGGTGCATGCAGGGCCCCCGCGCTGCGCTGCTCCTAGCTGGAGGTCAGCTGGAGGCAGTGCGCCCGGGCTCCGCTACCTGGTACCGCCAGGAGGGCAGCCCTGTGTGCAGCTGGCTGCAAAAGCAGCTGCTGCCTGAGCCGCGTACTACTAGTTCATCGGCCCCGTGGCGCTGGGCATACCACTCCGAGTTCCGACTGCCCGGGACGCCGCCATGGCCCGGGCCCGCCTCCGCCAGTCCGAATGGGGCCAGCGCAAGCAGCCAAATGCAGGCCGGCGGCCGCGCCTTCCCAATGCTCGCCCATAGCGCCCAAGCCAGGGGCGTCGCCGATCCCCACCCTCTCCATCCCACACAAACCCCGGCCCTGGATGACTCCCAGTCGCAGGAAGGTGAGGCCTAGAGGGGCCCGCCCACCCGGAGGTAGCAAGAGATGCTGGCCTGTGGTGGTTGCGAGGATGAGAAGACTGGGCGGGACTGGGGAAGGATTGGACGTTGGATAAGAGCACAAGAGGGTTGGTGAAGGAAGAGAAGGGGCTATGGGCATTGGGCAAGGAGAGGCCTAACTTGAGTCCCCGGGCCGAGCCCCTAGCTGCCCCCCTCCTTATCTTTCTGCAGGTTCATTTGTCCTCTGGCCAGGATTCTCCAAAGTGTCTCACCACATGGGCCGGCTCAGAAACGCCAAGATCCACGTGGAGAGAGCTGTCAAGGTCGGAGGGGCCTGGAGGGGTTCAGAAAGGGACCTGGATGTGGCCCAGGCTGCCTTACTGCACTGTTTTCTTGCATCTTTTTTTTTTTTTTTTTTAAAAAGCAAAAACCCTGGATCCCCCACATCTTCAACTACTTCCCCATGTTCTATCTACTCTACCTTCACAGCCAAACGTCTTGGCAGAATTGTCAACACACAATATTTCACTTCTTTAACTCGGATTCACTCAACTCCACTGCACTCTGGTTCCTTGCCCTTCCCTATTCCCATTCAACATCATCCTAGTAAAGGTCACCAGTGACCTCCAGGGAACCAAATCCAGCAGCCCCTTTCTGCTCTGATCCTGGTTGGCCACCCAGCATCATTCCGCAGTGTCCTCCCATACACCCTGCCTTCACACCCTGCCCTTTTCACTGGCTGACTCCACACTTTTGGTTTTCCTTTCTCCATCCCTGGCTGCTACTTTGAAGGTTCCTCAAGACATTAGTGGTTTCTTGGGTCCCTCCCCACACCCTCCCCACACACACTACCCAGATTCATCTGTCCCCTTGCCCCTGAGTCTGACACCCTACACATGAACATACTGCATGTCCTTTCTTTGCCAGCCTCTACCTTAAACTCCACACACACACACACATTTCAGCCCCCTATTTGACATCAACGGGAAAACTTACAGTCATTTCAAAGTTCTGTCCCAAACCACATTCTCTATTTTCTTGCCTAAACCTGCCCTCCTCCCCAGTCTCTGTCTTTCCCATCTCTCAGTTACTCAGGGCACAAATCTGATCTTTCTCATCCCATACATCTAATTCCATCCATAAAACCAGTTATCTCTACCTCCAACAAAAATCTCAACTCTATCATCTCTTCCCCATTTCACTCATTCTAGTTACTATGATTTCTTTCTAGCACAAACCACAATAGCTTTTCACCTTCCATCCATCCTTGTCACCTCTGTCTATTCTCCATATAGAAGCAAGTCAAACTTACAATGATTATAAGTCAGGCAGTCATGTCACTACCTCTCTTACCTTTACTGCTTCATGCTACACTTAGCATGAAGAACAGACCTTAAGTCTGTTCTAAGGCCTACAGCCTTTCCCATTTTGCCTACCTCATTTCCCCTACTCTATTCCTTTTGGTTTCCTTTCAGTTCCTTCAGTTTGTTTCAGCCTCCAGGCCTTTGCATGGGCTAAGTCTCTGCCTGAACTGTCATCTGCCCAGCTTTGCATGTTTGCAGCTCCTTCTCAATCTTCTGCTGACCCTGTGTTTCTAAGTAGTTTCTCTGGGTCCCCATTTAAGTATTCTGATTCTGGGACCAGCCTACATGGATTAAATCCCTGCCCTTTGACTTAACGACTGTGTGGCCATGGGTAAGCTATTCAACCTCCTTATGCGTCTGTTTCGTTATCAGTAAAATGAGGATAATAGTACCTATTAAAATGCGTGTTATGGGTAGTAATGTATGTAAGTTCTTAACACATAGTAGGTATTCAATAAATAACAGCTATTACCATTATCATTATTACTATGCATATTTATTATTTTTTACATGTTTAGTCTCTCCTACTGGAATAGTCGGAAATACTGAGATTGGACCGTGACTGTCTGTTTCACCATTATATCCCCTATGCCTGGCACTAAGGCAATATTTGGAACAAGTATCCATCTCTCACTTTATAGCAAAAGAAGATCTTTATGATCCAAGGCCGCTACCCAGTGATCCGGTGCCTGTTGCGCCGGAGAGGCTGGGTAGAGAAGAAGATGGCCCATCATACAGGTACCACCCTGCCACCATCCCAGAAGGATCTGGACAGCTCAGTGATGTGTGATAGCGACATTGAGGAAGGTAGGTAGCTCCCTCCCATCCCCCAACTGCCCCTCCTGAGGTCCTTCCCTCAGTGATGCCCTGGTATGGGCATATGAGGCAAGGACTGGAGCCTCATCAGGCCTGAGCTTTGAATCCACAGAGGATGAAGATGAGGACAAGGAATTCCACCCACCACAGCTGATCAACTTCGAAGGTTTACTGGAATTTGATGATCTGGATGGGACCCATGCTCTAATGGTGAGGAGCCTGGGGGCCAACATATAGCAGGAGGTATAGGAAGCTTCCTGGTCAGAGAGAGAGTGGTGATATGCAGCTGGATAACCTCAGACAAATCCTTTTCCTTCTCTAGGCCTCAGTTTCTCCATCTGTAGTAATTATGGATGACTTCCCTGAGGACTAGGTGGGACAGCAGAATTGGGAGGACTCAGTGGGAAGTCAGACAAGGCTGACCTGGGATTCAGAATTCTGCTAGGTTGTATCAGAAGCCAGCAATAGCCTCCAGGCCTGATATTCCCCCTTTCCAAATAATAATCCCACAGTTCATCCCCTTCCTCTACTCTTGGCAACTGAAGGCTGGAATGAAGGACTGAAAAAGCTCTGAAAGAGGCTGATATGATAATGTGGAGGATATACATATCAAGTGAGAACATGGGTTCAAATCTTGGCACCACCACTTACTAAGTTGAAGTATATAAAATGTCAAGAAATGTTGAATACTGGCAATTTCATGTAGCTTAACCTAGTAATAGCTTGTGCGCCCATGCGAGCCCGTCCACATATCCTCCCTGTCCCTCACTTCCCTCATCTGAGGTAGGAGCACCTACCTCCTAGGGTTGTGGTGAGCCTTAATGAGTTCAGGCATACAAAGCACTTAGAATAGGACCTGACATATGGTATTATTGATCATTATTAATCCTACCTTCCAGAGTTGTGAGGAGTGTAGTAAGGTAGAGGTCTGGGAGAGAGCCTTTGTCACATGCTGTATGCCTGTCAGCTTGGAATTACTGTCCTGAGCAACTCCCTGATGGCCACAGAACAGGACAGGGTACAGTGCATAGTGGTACAGCTCAGTCACTGCTTACGGGTGCTCCGCCAAAGGGAGGCTGAAAGCTGGCCTGCTCTCTGTTCCCCTCAGTGTATGCCCTGGAGGAAGAGCCATCTTCCTACTATAGTCAAAGATGGCATGTAGGCTGGAGGCCATCTTGGAAGCCTCTCTTCCTTCCTGTTTACCTGCCCCACTCAGCTGGGCAGGAAGAACACCCCTCAGGTCTTGTGCTGCTCATACCAGCCTCCTCTGTCTCCTTCCCCACTCCCCAGTCCCGCATGGTTCGGAATGAGACCCCCTACTTTATCTGGACCACTCGGCGCGATGTGCTGGACTGTCGCTTCCTCTCCAAAGATCAAATGATAAACCACTATGCTCGGGCCGGCTCCTTCACCACAAAGGTGGGTTCCCCGAGGGGGCAGTTAGGGAAGCCTCCAACCTCCCTACTTTTTGGCCAGCATCCCTATTTCCAGCTTCCCTTGTCTATAAGAAACTTCTTAGGAGAGGGAGAGGTATATCAATTCAGCAGGATATGGAGTTAGGCCTGGGTTCAAACCCCACCCTGGGCACAGAGCCTAGTATATGCAGACATAACAAATAAAATAGGCTATAGAATTCAAACAGGATCTGGAGTCATAACAAACAGAAACCCAATGACTATAAGCAAGCAGGCTCTTACCACCTAAATAGGAGATGACTCTGGTTGATGGTTCCACTCTGTCTTACCTGGGTTTATTCGCAAGTAACTTCACCTCTCTGAGCCTCGATTTCCTCATCTTTGGGAGCTCTGGTGTCGTAGTGCCTAAGGCATTTGACTACTTAAATGAGGATAACAGTAAGACCTATCTCCCAGGGTTGTGGCACAATTGAAGGGCTTTATAATTGGATGCTGCTGTTATCATATTGATATGAGCTGGCAAGGATTTCTAGAGGAGGAGGTCTTTACAAATGTGGAAGGGTGGACAGAAGACAAATGTACAGAGATGGAGATAAGCAAGACAGGGCCAGCAAGTGGGAAGAGGCTCTGAGAATGTGCAAACAGGGTCTCTCCGAGCTGCCCATGTGGGTGCTCAGTGTAGCAGAATCCCTTGGAGGCTTTCTGGGCAAGTCCCACCTTGTCCCTTCAGTGGCTAACTCTGTAGGTGGGGCTATGTCTCAATCTCCGGAATTTGCCCTGGTTTGATGAGGCTGATGCCGACTCCTTCTTCCCACGATGCTACCGCCTTGGGGCTGAGGATGACAAACGAGCCTTCATAGGTAAGAAGACCTCCAGACCCATACCTGGACCCCTCAGGCTATAGGACCAGGGCTAAAGTCCTGGCTCAGGTTGGAGAAGAACCGGCTTCTTCTCATGACCTCTTCTACCCTAGCAAGATTTCTCTCTCCATCCCTACTCCTTACCTTTCCCTAATATGCCTTCCCCTAATGACTCTCTAGCTTGGTCAGCCCAGACCTCCAGGAAAGCTTAGACAGATGTATGTTAGAGCAAGTTCTAAAATAATTGTCAGTTGGTTGAGTGTGAAATCTAGAATAGGTTCCAGACCTCTTCATATTCCATAGGCTAGATCAGGTTCCAAATCTAAAAAAGGCTTTAGATGTTGGGTTGCTAACGTAGACTTGTTTCCATGTCTAGAATATGTTCTAAATTAAAGTAGAAATTTGGCCCAGTTTATGTGAGACTCCAAATCTTAAATAGGTTTGGACCAACGTTTGGTTTTTAGAGCATAATTATCAAAAATAGATCAGGAACAGAAGAGAGAAACCAGACAACAGGTTCAGGCCAGATTCTGAAGGCAGAATATAAGCCAAGTCAGGTCAGATTCTGGGGCTGGTTTTACAACTGAATTAGGAGCCAGGTTCTAATTCAGATTCTAGAGTCAGAAAACATAGGTTCCGGATCCAAAATGAGTCAGGTTATGATCAGGTTCCGGAACCAGAACAGGCCTTGAGCCTAGGGGCTGAGCAGGGTATCCCCTGCCCTGGGAGCAGAGGACTTTTGGCTGACAGCCGCCCGCAACGTTCTCAAACTGGTGGTGAAGTCCGAATGGAAGCCGTACTCCATCCAGGAAGAAGAAGAAGAGGAAGAGGCCCCAGGTGAGTACTGTAGATACCTCTACTGCCCCATTCATTTATCCTCCAACCCATTCATCCATCCATCCATTTATTCATATGCACTACCCACCTGTTTTTCCATGAATCTATGTACCATCCATATCCATCACCCCTTCCCACCAACCCATCTACACGCTTACCTCCCATCTATCCTTCCATTCATACATTCAGCTGTTTATCCACGTATTTATTCATCCATCTTCCCACCTATCCACTCACTATTTTTTTTTTCCTCTTTAGTTTAGATTCTTTTTTTTTTTTTTTTTAATTAGGATTTGGGTGAAGATTTACAGAGTAAATTCACTTTTCATACAGCTCCACTCACTATTGATCTACCCACTCATCCATCTCCCTTTCATTCTTTCCATCTATCTATTCATTCCCCCCACCTTCCTACCTATCCTTCCACAGACCCATCTACCTATCTATCCATCTACTTTTTCATACTCCTATTCACCACCGGGGAGCTCTGGTAGTGTAGTGCCTAATTCACTTGACTACTAACCAGAAGGCTGGCGGTTCAAACCCACCAGCCACTCCTCGGAAGGAAGATGGGGCAATCTACTTCCATAGTGATACTGCCTCGGAATCCCAAGGAGGGGTCGCTATGAGTCGGATCCGACTCAACGGCACATAGCAACATTCACCACCTATCAAGCCTCCATTCCATCTACTCCTCCATTCTCTTGTCTCATCAACCCACCCTCCCACCTGCCTGTCTTCCTATCCATTTGTTAATCAGCCCACTGCTTCATTTGGCTCTCCATGGATCTGGCATGTGGCCAAGCTCTCTAGAGAGGACAGACTAAGAAGCCATCATACATCCCTGCCCATGGGAAGCTCATTTCCCTGATGAAGAAGCAGTCAACTTGGGCAATTTACATGTGGCCTGAGGACCTCAACCCACTGCTTGCTATTTCTGGATGTAGCTTCTATCTCAAAGCCCCCACTCCTGTAATCTCACAGTCTCATCAGCCAGGGATTCAAGGAAGTATAGGTCAATTTTTCTGAAAGGAGGAAAGTCCTTACATTCTCTGGAGGTAAACCTCCCCCATGTTGTCTCCTGGATGTATGCTCCAAGTATAAGGAAGACTCTGTTGTGTACCAGGATCAGAGGCACAAAAGCCTCAATTATGACCAGAGACCCTGTGCTTAAGCTCTCATGCTGTTGGGCCCAGGTATAGATCAGGCTTCAGGGCTTGGAGGATCTCTATTGTACATTAGGAATTTAGGAGCATGGCAGATGTTCAGAGTGAATCAGGACCACAGCTTTTCAGGCATGTGTCAGGGTTGAGTGTGTGCATCTGAAGTATCAGTTTCAGGTATGTCACATTCAGGTGTGTGTCAGGACTTGTGCAGCATGTCAGAACTCTAGGTGTGTGGGCCTCGGCTGTGGCAGCATTTCACAAGTAGTAGGTTAGCACTTCAGTGTCTTAAGGATTGTAGATGTATATCAAGCTTCTAGGGGTGGCTCCAGATTTCTAGTATGTGGCAGAATGTCAGGGGTAGGTAAGATGTAAGAAGTCTTGTCAGATTGGGGAGAGGCATTCATATATATCTCAGCTTCATCTAGGCTAAGGCTCCCAGGTACATTTTAGACAGGACTTAGGTATGTCAGAAGGAGTTCTGGTAGCACCATGCCTAAGGCATCTGACTGCTAACCAGAAGGTTGGTGGTTGAAACTCACCAGCCACTCCACAGAAGAAAGACTGGGCAATCTACTTCCATAAATATTTACTGCCTCAAAAACCCAGTGGGGGTCACTATAAGTCAGAATCGACTCAATGGTAATGTGTTTAGGTTTTTTGGTAGGTATGTCAGAGGTCCCCTCTGCCCTTGGGAGAGAGGAGGTGTGCTGGGACTACATGTACCATACAAACCTTGGGGTATAGAGCTGCAAATGAGTGACAAGTCCTGGGATAGTGGGGCCTGAGAGTGAGCACTAGGGTCTCAGTGAATTTAAAGCAAGGCCTCAAGTGAGTGACAGATCCCAGGCCAGTAGGGGATACAGGTGTATGCTTAGGCCTCAGGAGTATTTAGGACAAAGCATCAGGTAAGGGATAAGTTCTGGGGCAGTAAGGGAGGCAGGTGTGTGCTAGCCCTTACGTGTATTTAGGGTGAGATTTCAGATTAGTAACAGGCCTTGGAGCAGTGGGGGCCATGGTGTGTGTCAGGTTACCTGCCTTATATGTGGAACAGTGACAGGCCTCTCTCTATCTCTGTAGGAGACAAGCAGCACAAGAAACAGGAGAAAAAGCCAGTGACAGTGTCTCCAGAGTTTGTGGATGAGGCTCTGTGTGCATGTGAGGAGCACCTTAGCAACCTGGCCCACATGGATATTGACAAGGATCTGGAGGCCCCGCTGTATCTCAGTCCTGAAGGCTGGTCCCTTTTCCTCCAGCGCTATTACCAAGTGGTCCAGTGAGTATCCCTGCAGCCAAGGCTGTGGGACAGGTCCCCATTTCCTTCAGGGAACTTTCATGTTCTGAATTGAAATTTAGGCACAGTGCAGGCACCTCTGCTTTTGCTCACCCTGCTCACACTACCTTTATGATTAGATTCAAACACTGTTCCTGGTTCTTGGCATAGTGTAGTCATCAAGATCATAGTTCAAGACCTGGCTTTATGACATCTAAGCTCTGTGACCCTGGGAACATTATTAATCTTTTTGAGATTTACTTTTCTCAATACAAAATAGATTTTAAAATAATGGCTGTCTCAAAGATAGGATTAGACAAGATAATTTGTGTTATATGCTTAGCATAGGGTTGTACTATTGACTCACAAAATAGAAATCTATTAAATCATCTAGATTTTATCCTGGAAGGCAGTGTTTCCCAAAATGTGTTGCACAGGATGATAATTCTATAGATTATAAGTAGATTTTATGAAAAAAGACCTTTTGTGGTCAGTGAGGGAGCTCTGGTGGTGTAGTGCCTAAGGCACTTGACTGCTAACCAAAAGGCTGGTGGTTCCAATCCACCAGCCACTCCTTGGAAGTAAGGTTGGGCAATCTATTTCATAGTGATACCACCTTAAAAACTCAAGGAGGGGTCACTAATGAGTCGAATCTGACTTGACAGCAGTGAGGTTTTTTTTCTTTCTTTTCTTTTTTTTTTTTTTTTTTTTGTGGTCAATGAAGTTGGAAAACATTGGGTTAAACAAAGTTAAACAGGTGTCCCTAGGGCAGGACTTCTCAGAACCTTTATGTAATTGGCAAAGTAAACCTCCAAAAGAGATGGAGTGTGCAGTATATGCTATACTTATGTGGCTCCAGTCCTGCCCCCTGAGCAACCTGAGGGGTAGTGCTTTCAGAACACATTTTTGGAAAAGGTTCTTGAACAGGAGAAGGGAGTATCAAGATGAGACTGATGCTGTTAGGGAGATTAATTTCAGTAGAGGTGTGCAGGAGGGATTGAAGACAGAAGGGCCCTGAAGGCAGGAAGTACATTTAGCAAGTATTTACTGAGCACCTCCTATGTGCCAAGCATTGTGCCAGACTCCAGAAACAAGGTGCAGTCCCTGCCCTCTAGGGAAATAGCTCAACCTCCAAAAAGCAGGGATTATGTAAATTACTATATCATGTAACAGTTATATACAGTGTTGAGTTGTTCAGTACAGATAATTAAGAACATGTTGTTGTTAGCTGCTGTCAAAGTCAACCCTTGATTCATGGTGACCCCATACACAGTAGAAGGAAATACTGTCCAGTCCTGCACCATCCCCATGATTGGTTGCGTATTGGACCATTGGATCCATAGAGTTTTCATTGGCTGATTTTCAGAAGTAGATGTCCAAGTCTTTCTTTCTGGTCAGTCTAATTTGGAAGTTCTGCTGAAACCTGTTCAGCATCCTAGCAAATACACAAGCTTCCACTGACAGATGAGTCGTGGCTATGCGGGATATTTCTTGGCTGGGAATCGAACCCGGGTCTCCTACATGGAAGGCCAGAATTCTACCACTGAAACACTATTGTCTTGATTAAGAAATTAGCATTAATTCATTCATTAAATATTTACTGCTGTATTTCTGAACTTTTTTTTTTTTTTTTAAAGTTTAATAGTCCATGCCTCACTAGCCAGTCAAGCTTAACTATCCACAAAGACATTGGTTGTTTTCTTTTTGCCAAATATAAAATCATGTTGTCATTTTTGAATATGCTTTTTCAATTGACACATGCTTCTGTTGCCCTGGGCTGAATAATAGATTTACTGAGCAGCTACTTTATGCTACAGGCCATGGGAAAAATTTCCATCAGGGTCAGGACTTAGTGTGAATATTCCCAGGATGCCTTGCTAGATCCCCTCCACCTGGCTGCCCCCTGTTCCTTGCACTGCTCCAGAGGTTGATGCCTCCTCATTAAGAGAGTGATAAGAAGTGCTCCATGGCTGGTGACAGTGGAAAAGGCTGAGATGTTAAAAAGTGGTTAGCATCTCCTGGAGACTGCTTCCTATTCAGTCAGAAGAAAAGAAATGGGAGAACTTGATGGTTGCAGCCATCTGGGGTATTCCCTGACTTAGTTTAGTTCCAGACATCTTGTGTCCTGAGGAAACAGATCTTTCTTTGTCCATGAGCCCCTATCTATACAGCTCAGTTGCTGAAGTGACCTTCTGCCAACCATTCATTCATTTAACAAGCACTTAGGGAGCATCTAATAAGTCCCAGGTACAGACAACAACAACAACAAATGCCCCTGCTCTTGTGCTTACATTCTCATGAGAGGAGATGGACAATAAACAAATAAGCGGACCTGCCAGGTAGTGATACTTGATGGGAAGAGAAGTAGAGAGATGTATGATACAGATGTAGTTAGGATTGGATAAGGAAGGGACCCACTTATGAACCAGTGTTAGGTCCAGATCAGGAGGGAGTGGACTTAAAACACACCTGTGGGTGGAGGAACCAGGCAGAACTAAGTTTAAATCCTGGCTCAGCCACTGAACTTAGTGTGTGCCCTTGGCCAAGTCCCTTAACAACCCATGCTTCATTTTATACTCCTTTAAAATGACATCCTCTAAAACAAAAGGTCCCTGGGTGGCCTAAACAATTTGTGCTCAGCTTCTAATCAAAAGTTGGAGATTCAAGTCCACCCAGAGGTGCCTTGTAAGAAAGGCTTGGCAGTCTACTTCCAAAAAATTAGCCACTGAGAACTCTATAGAGCACAGTTCTGCTCTGTAACACATGAGGTTGCCATGAGTCAAATAGATTTGATGACAATTAGATGATAGGATTAGTGATGATATATGTAAAGCCTTTGGCACAATCTCTGGCATGTAGTGATGCCCTATTAATAGGAGCTAACAAGATTATATTCTGCCAAAGGCAGTTTTAATCAAATGGGAAGTGGGGAGGTGGCAGAAGGTATAATGTTGGAGGAGAAGGGAGTGCAATAAGTGGAATTTTCCTATTCTCTCCCATCTGAGCAGTCTGGGATGGCACCCTGGGCGGGTCAGGGTTTGAGGCCAGATTGAGGCCTGGGATAGAAATTTAGGTACAACCTATCTGGATCTCTGGGGGGAAGACATGACCAAAGCTGGTTGGACCGTGGCTGAGGGGCTTGTTTCCCCTTGCCCTGTCTACCCACCTGCCCCCAGACCTGGCCCTACCCAAGTTCCCCCATCTCCCCACAGTGAAGGGGCAGAACTCAAGCACCTTGACACTCAGGTCCAGCGCTGTGAGGACATCCTACAGCAGCTGCGAGCCGTGGTGCCTCAGATCGACATGGAAGGGGATCGCAACGTCTGGATTGTGAAACCGGGAGCCAAGTCCCGTGGACGAGGTGGGGGTCAGCCCCTGCTTTCTGTACCCGTACTTCATAGCCTGCCTCCCCAACCAGAGGCCAGGAAGGTGATTAGTACAGGGTTGAGAGACAAACTACTTGAGTTCAAATCCCAGCTCTGTTGTGTGACCTTCAGCAAGTTATATCACCTCTCTGAACCTCCTCTGTGAAACGGAGTGAATACATACAAATGAGATAGTACATCTTAAGTTGTACCTGGCTTAAGTACCTGGCACAGAGTGAGCATCGCACAAACATTGACTGCTGTAATGATGATGCCATTTACTCCTCACCTGCCCTCAGAGTTTGAGTTAATGCTTTAGAGTTTGGCTAGGTCTGGTGAAGCTCAGTTATGACTCATGCAGGACCTTGTCATCTAAGGGCTTACAGATTTAATCAGTACATCCATGTGATGTATATATAGGGGTTAGGGACATGGACACTGGAAGCCAGACTGCCTGGGTTTAAACCCGAGCTCTGCCTCCTACTCTCTGTAGGACTTCAGGCAGGTAAGTTAACCTCTTCTGTGCCTCATTTTTCATCTTTGGTAAAATAATACCCACCAGAGAGGATTAAATAAGGGTATATATCAAGTACTTAAATCATGTGCTTTTACATAGCAATTGCTATATAATTGTGGGGCTGTAATTATTAGCTGTTATCCTGGCTGCTCAATCAAGTGTGAGGGACATTTGAAAAGGGGAGCCAGGACATTAACCCAGCCTTTAAAGACTAGCTTAGGACTCCTGAGAGTAGAAAACATACTTTGGGCACAAGATCCCTCTAAATCCTGCCCTTGTTGTTGTTGTTGTTGTTGTTTGCCGTCGAGTCGTCCCCAACTCATAGCGACCCCTCCTTGGGTTTCCGAGGCAGTACCACTATGGAAGTAGGATTGCCCAACCTTCCTTCCGAGGAGTGGCTGGTGGGTTTGAACCGCCAGCCTTCTGGTGAGCAGTCAAGTGCCTTAGGCACTATGCTACCAGAGCTCCAAATCCTGCCCTTAGGAGAGTTTATTTATATCCAGCTCCAGACTCTGGGGAATCTCCTCTTGCAGATATTACTTCAAAACCAGCAGCAGGCTGTCTTCTTTTTCTACCTTGGAAATAGCTATGTCGTTTTTTCCAGTTGTGAAAATGATGTGTCCATTGCTAAAGAAAATCAGATGACATAGAAAAGAAGAAAGTAAAACCCCCAAGCCCCCACAATAGTTGTGACTGTCTTGACTTATAATACCATATATTGTCATTGTCGTTAGATGCCATTGAGTCGGTTCCAACTCATAGCAACCCTATATACAACAGATCAAAAACACTGTCCAGTCCAGCACCATCCTCACAATCATTGCTATGTTTGAGCCCATTGTTGTAGCCACTGTTGTCAGTCCATCTCACTCAGGGTCTTTCTCTTTTACTCTGAGCATCATGTCCTTCTCTAAGGACTTGTCCCTCCTGATAACGTGTCCAAAGTATGTGAGATGAACTCAGTCTTACTATCCTTGCTTCTAAGGAGCATTCTGGCTGTACTTCTTCTAACACAGATTTAGTCATTCTTTTGGCAGTCCATAGATTAGTGTTGCCTATTATATTTTTAGAAATTTTATTGTGGTAAAAAAAATATGTATATATATAACAAAATTTACATTTTAACCATTTTAAATGCACAGTTCAGTGACATTAATTATATTCACAGTGCTATGCAACCATCATCACTATTTCCAAAACTTTTTCATCATCCCCAAACAGAAACTCTGCAGCCACTAAATCATTACTTGGTTTTAAGTTTTACATACAAGTACCTCATTTAAAAAAAAAAAATTATTGTGGTGAAATATATGTAACAAAAGTTTGACATTTTAACCATTTTTCAGTGTACAATTCAATGGTATTAATGGCATTTACCAGGTTGTGCAACCATCAGCATTTCTAAGTTTTTTTATTACCCTAAATGGAAACTCAGTACCCCTTCAGCACTCACTCCTCATTCTCTCCACCCTCTAGCCCTTGGTAACCACTAATAATAACCACTGTATGTTGTTGTTATTTGCCGTCGAGTCAGCCCCGACTCATAGCGACCCCTCCTTGGGTTTCCGAGGCAGTATCACTACGGAAGTAGGATTGCCCAACCTTCCTTCCGAGGAGTGGCTGGTGGGTTTGAACCACCTGCCTTCTGGTTAGCAGTCAAGTGCCTTAGCCACTATGCTAGTAGGATCATATCATATTTGTCCTTTTGTATCTGACTTATTTCACTCAGTATGATGTTTTCAATATTCATCCATGTTGTAGCATGTGTCAGAACCCATTTCTCTTTATGGCTGAATAATATTCCATTGTATGGATACATACCACATTTGTATATCCATTACCTCATTCGTTTTTTCACCTGTGTAATTGAATCTTGTTGGATGTACTGTCATGCATTTATATAATCCTCTTCTGATAGGCATTTAGAGTTTCTTTAGTTTTCTTTCTTATTATTTATTGCTATTATAAGCAGCACTGTGATGAACATCATGTGCATATATCTCTGTGACCTGCTCCATTTATTCCCTTAGGATACATTACTAGAAATGAAATTGAACCACCTTAATGTTTTGTTACACACCAAAAAAAACAAACCAAACTCACTGCCATTGAATCGATTCTGACTCATAGCGACCCCTCCTTGGGTTTCTGAGGCAGTATCTCTACGGAAGTAGATTGTCTAGTCTTCCTTCTGGCGTGGCTGGTGGGTTTGAACCTCCAGCCTTCTGGTTAACAGTCAAATGCCTTAGGCATTACGCCACCAGGTTTGTCCACCTTGTTACGCAAGGCAGCATGTTCTTGGGAATCTTGTCAATCAGTCTGGGTGTTTGGGAAAGGATCCAGCACAAATTATTCTGTCACCACTGGCAGGTGATGTGGCTGCTTCATAGGTCCAATGAAGGAATAAGATTGATTTGTGTGTGTATTTGCTTTGTAAAGTGATTCTAATTTTTACCAGCATCTGATGCTTTATAAGCATTGAAAAAAAAAAAAATTAAAATGAGATACCCGTTTTTAACTTGGAGAAGGCAAAAAAAAAAAAAAAAATCTAGTATTTGACAATGTTAAATAGGATGTGAGGAAGTGCAATCTCATAACATTCTTGCTAGGAATGCAGATTGTTAAAACATCTTTAGAGGTGAATTAGCAATAGAGAAATGAAAAAGGCACATATCTTTGGAGCCAACAATTCCATTATGAAACTTATTATTTGCTGATAATGGGTAATAATAGTGAAATGAGTAAACATTGAATGCTTTCCAGGTACCGAGCCTATTCTAAATCCCTAACATGTACATAGTCCTGTGAAACAGAGGCACACATAGCCACTCACATGACCTGGAAGGATATTCACAAGGACCTGGAAGCAGCAGTTGGCTGCCTCTGGAGGAGACTTATTTTTTATTGTATATCCTTTTGTGCTGATTTTTGTTATTGTTGTTTATATTCTGTTAACTATTGTAGGGGAGATTAAGTAATATGCACTGACTTTTTAAAAACCCAAGAGCAAATACTGTTTGAATTTTTATCTGTGCATATATTCCTTTTTAGTCAAACAGAGCAGTTAACTCAAAATGTAATAAAATCCTTGGCAGATATTCCTACTAGGGAGGGGTCTGATTGAGGGAGGCAGCCTTCTATCCTTGCCCCTATCTTCTCTGTGGGGATGAGATCTTGTGGTGAAGGAGCCACGGTCCTGGGCCCTTTTTCCAACCCTAGCATGACCTTCTGACCCCTGACTTGAGCCTGTCCCTTTCCCTTTTAGGCATTGTATGCATGGACCACCTGGAACAGATGCTGAAACTGGTGAACTGCAACCCCATGATGATGAAAGATGGCAAGTGGGTGGTGCAGAAGTACATTGAGCGACCCCTGCTCATTTTTGGCACCAAGTTTGATCTGAGACAGTGGTTCCTGGTGACTGACTGGAACCCACTTACTGTTTGGTTCTACCGTGATAGCTACATCCGCTTTTCCACACAGCCCTTCTCCCTGCAGAACCTAGACAAGTGAGCCCCAGCACTCACCTCCCATGAGTTCCCAGTATAGGTGGGAGAAGGCAGGCACACAGGCAGTTACAGTGCAGTGGAATCACACATCACTGGGGCCCCAAATTCAGACTCACAGGCAGGCAGGCCATCCATCCATCCAACCATCTTTAAATAATTACTGTTGTAGGCAGTTGGGATACAAGAATGATTTAGTAATTTCTGTATTAACTGGGTTAAACTATGGTTTCCATTTGGTGGGCCAAACAATAGTCTGGTTGCTGTTACGGAATAGTTATGTGTGATTAAATCAGCCTTAAGCGAAGCAGATTATCTTCCATCAGGCTATCTAATGTAATCAGTTGAAAGGGGAGTTTCCCTAAGTAGGGTGTGTTCTGCTTCCAGACTATAAATAGATATTTTGGCAGAACTCTCTTTTTTCACACACACACACAAAAAGACAAAGGCCACATGAGAGTTATTTATGGGCCAAGAAATACCAAGGATCACTAGCAGTCACCAGAAACAAGGAGAGGATAACAGAAGCACTGAACATGACCTGATTTGGACTTTCACTCTCCAGAACTGAGAGTATATTTCTGTTCTTTAAAGCTACTCACTTGCAGTATTTCTGTTAGGGCAGGTCTAGGTAACTAAGGCAGTGAAGTTCACATTCTAGCAAGTAGAACAGACAACAAGCAATACACATAATTAAGGTGCACCTAACCCAAGCCAGAGCAAGCAAATGGCAGAGGGATCCAGGTAAGGGGAGGGACCCAGGCCCCACCCCCCAAGAGGCAGAAAAGCAGAGGGGAAAGGAAAGGAAAGCAAGGGCATCCAGGACAGAGTGAGCAAGTGGCAGGGATCCAGGTAAAGAAAGGGTAGAGAGGTTTTGAACAGATAAGGGAGACAAACTTATCTCTGTTTGTCGTACTGCAGTGGCTTGTTGCTGTGAGGCTTGAAGCTGTACCACTGGTGTTTGAGATGCCAGCAGGGTTGCACATGGTGCACAGGTTTCGGTGCGACTTGCAGACTGAGACAGACTAGGAAGAAGAAAGTGGCCATCCACTTCTCAAAGAATTGGCCAGGGAAAACCTTATGAATAGCAGAGAAACACTGTCTGTTTCTTTACTAGACAACTATATGAATAGCCTGGAAACAGCCTCTGACACAGTGCAGGAGGATGAGCCACTTAGGTTGGAAGGCTCTCAAAGTATGACTGGGGAAGAGCTGCATAATCAGAGTAGAACCAATCTTATTGATATGGATAAAGTAAAGTTTTCGAGACTCTCATTTGCTGACATGACACAACTCAAATTGAGGAGAAACAGCTGCAAATATCCATTAATAATCAGAACATGAAATGTATGCAGTAAGAATCTAGGAAAATTGAAAGTTGTCAAAAATGAAATGGAACACATAAAGATTGATATCCTAAGCATTAGTGAGCTGAAGAGTGGTTTTGACCATTTTGAATCAGACAAATATATGATCTACTACGCTGGAAATAACAATTTGAAGAGGAATGGTGTGGCATTCATCACAAAGGATGTTTCAAGATCTGTCCTGTAGTACAATGCTGCCAGTGATAGGATAAT